ATGAGTGCCTGGGGGTGGTCCTTTTCACATTTAAAAAAAGCTTTTTATTTTGTATTGGGATATAGCTAACAGTGTTGCCTTTTGACATTTTGAATGATTTCTTTTGAAGAGGAGTTCTAAGCACTATTGCCTCAACTATTTTTTTTTCATTTATTTTTATTAGTTGGAGGCTAATTACTTTACAATATTGTAGTGGGTTTTGTCATACATTGACATGAATCAGCCATGGATTTACATGTATTCCCCATCCCGATCCCCCCTCCCACCTCCCTCTCTACCCGATCCCTCTGGGTCTTCCCAGTGCACCAGGCCCAAGCACTTGTCTCATGCATCCCACCTGGGCTGGTGATCTGTTTCACCCTAGATAATACACGTTTTGATGCTGTTCTCTCAAAACATCCCACCCTCGCCTTCTCCCACAGAGTCCACAAGTCTGTTCTATACATCTGTGTCTCTTTTTCTGTTTTGCATATAGGGTTATCATTACCATCTTTCTAAATTCCATATATATGTGTTAGTATGCTGTAATGGTCTTTATCTTTCTGGCTTACTTCACTCTGTATAATGGGCTCCATTTTCATCCATCTCATTAGAATTGATTCAAATGAATTCTTTTTAATGGCTGAGTAATATTCCATGGTGTATATGTACCACAGCTTCCTCATCCATTCGTCTGCTGATGGGCATCTAGGTTGCTTCCATGTCCTGGCTATTATAAACAGTGCTGCGATGAACATTGGGGTGCACGTGTCTCTTTCAGATCTGGTTTCCTCGGTGTGTATGCCCGGAAGTGGGATTGCTGGGTCATATGCCTCAACTATTTCATCCTACTTAGGGGGAAAGTTAAAGTAGAATATTATTCTGGCTGGATTAAGTTGGTCAGCACGAAGCTATCCTTTGAATAACAATGCACTTTGGGCCAAAAATATATTCTGTTTCTGAACCAGAAAAATTAGAATGGACTTGGTGTATTGGGCTGGCCAGTATGTGTTTCCAAGGGGATAGAAACTATCTCCAGAAAGCTGTTTTGTCTTTATCATTCAACTTTCATTTTTAGATAATCATATACACAAAATCTTAAAAATTTGTGTCTTTTGACTTCATCATCTATGAGGAGTACCAAGTGGCACAGAACTTGGGAGTCTTTTTCCAAAGTCAACATTTTAGTCACAGAAATTTATTTTTGGCTGCAATTTTATTCATTCACTCTTTAAACATTTGCTGAACATATACCACTTGCTTACTTTCATGAGGCATCGGGGCATAGAAAAGAATAAACCTCTGCCCTTGAATGGCTCAAACCAACCTAAGTGGGGGCAAGTCAGACATAAAAAAATGACTTGATGTGTTAAGAGTGACAATAAGAGTACTTGGAAAGGGCTATAGGGATAGTTTTATAATAGTTTTTGATGTTCCCAGAAACATTTTGATTCTTATGATAAGCACTAGTTTATCCCTTAGAGTCATGGCTTAACATTTTTATTGAACCAAAAAAGATTGCTATAAATATGAAATTTCTACAAGAAGAAAAAATCATAACTCTTTTGTCTCATTATGGTGGCATTTGAAAATAACCAAGATTATAGTTAGAACACAATGCAAATACAAATGCTGTGTCTCGTAATTGTTAGATAATATTCAGAGGTGTGAGTGACAACTTATAAACATATTGCATCACCATAGAATTGTTATATTATTTCAGCAATATCTAACTTGATAGGATTACTTTCATATGATTTTCTAAGAACTGAGATATCACTATAGCATCCATAGTTTGGAAAAACTTTATGTTCAAACATTGTTTTTATTACTGGCTTTTATTAATTTTGAATTTTTGTGCATGTGTGTGCTCAGTTGTATCCAGCTCTTTGCAACGCCATGGACTATAGCCTGCCAGGTGCCTCTGTCCAAGGAATTTTCCAGGCAAGAATACTGCAGTGGGTTGCCATTTCCTTCTCTGGGGGCTCTTCCCAACCCAGGGCTTGAATCCACATCTCTTGCATCTCCTGCATAGGCAAGCAGATTCTTTACCACTGAGCCACTAGGGAAGCAAATATGCATATGAGAATTCTAATTTTTTAAATTTATTTTTTGGCTGTGCAGCATCTTAGTTTTCTGACCAGGGATCGAACTCGCGACCCCTGCATTGGAAACTTGGATTCTTAACTAGTGGATATTCTGAAGAGCTAGTTCTCTTAAAAATTTAATAGCTAGCTCTCCAAAAAAAAAAAAAAAAAGAAAGAAAGAAAAAAAACATTGTACAAAGCCAGGCAACAATACTGGGTTATTTTGCTGACATAGGAGGTGAGGCCATTAGACTTGTTTGTTGATGCAGAGAGGTGCAAAGTTTAGGAATCGTCCGCTAGGTAGGGAGATGAATGCTAAGTCTAAAATCTGAATTTAAGGAGCACTGAAAATACCTGCTGCCTCTGATATTCTGACCATTATTTCTTTCAAAACCATCTGCAGATGTGTGCATATTAATTGGCTCCGGGCATTCTGTTACCTAGGAGGAGTAACACATTAGATAGCTAAAATTAGAAGGAAGGTTAAAAAAAAAAAAAGTGAAAATACAGTGCCTGGTGATCCACTGTCCATGGGGCTTTATAGCTAGAGACCCTGACTGCCAAGCAGGAGGGGTCCTTAATCCTTGTGAGGTGTGAATGGCAAAAAGTACTGGGGGGGGCGGTGTGCCTTATTGTACACCCATGCTGTCTCCCACTTAGACCTGAACCTGAGTGTGGAGGGTGAGGGTTAGTGTTATTCACGATTCACATGGCCACACAGCTGTACAATACACTTTTTGTTTCATAGATTTGAATGCATCGGTGCTCAGGGAGATGTGTGAGGGGGAGAAGGAAGTAAGTCACAAGGAAAATTGCAAGGCATTTGGCTTTCATCTATTCTAGTTGTTTAAGCATGCGGGGGTGGGGGGGGGGACTGCCTCAGCTTTATTAAAAAAAATCCTAATCATGCAAATGTTAACAATCAAATTCATAGCAGTTACAAAGAGTTGCTATGCAGTGGGCACTGTGTTAGTGTCTTAGGTACATCATCTTACTTAGTGGCCCCAGGGGCTTCCCCCACTCTCCACAAGCAGTCAACATCTCCTGGTTTGTACTTCACCCTCCTATAGCCGTACCAGGAGGGATTCCACCTGATTTGCAATTCCAGACTGATAACGTCTCCTTGACCTTGTTGGAGCTTTGAGGTGGTGATGACAATCACGCTGGGCATCAAGGGGGAGAGACGTCCCTTTGCTCCTCACCCAAGGCCGGGCTCAGGCAAAGGAGACAGAACTCCTTACTCAGGCAGCCCTGGACGCTCGCTGTTGTTGGCGGGAGGGCCTCCGTGCTCTCTTACTGACAGAGCCGTGGGAGTTGAGACCTGCACCCACCCCCACCCCGCCTCTCTGTTCCAGGTGCTTGGATTCAGAGCCCTGGTTCCCCTGGGGCTTACACAAGGCCAAGGCAGGGCCCGTTTTCCTGCCTCGGGTCCCTGCCGCTGCCAACACCTTGAAATTCTGGTGAACTATTCACTGTTTTGAAGGGAGAGTGGTAACAAGCAGATCTGGCTTGAATGGTTTCCAAGAAGCTTGGTGCCAAGGGGAAGGCCTGAGAAAAACCAGGCTTGGAAGAAGGAGCTCCTAATTCTTTGAGAGCTTCACCCTAAGGACCATGCTGCTTTTCAGAAGAAGCTGATCTCCCCTTCATTGTGCTTAGAGACTCAGACTCACTGTTCTTCAGGCAAAGCGATGCTGCAGTTCTGCCCCCTTCAAGGGAGCTATGGAGAGAAGGAACCAGTCACTAACATCCAGGGCACTTTCACTTTTTTAAACCTTCCTCTTTCTCAGCCTTATTTCCCTTTTTCTGTGTCTTTTCTCCTAAACTTGGCTTTTGTTGGTGGTATTTAGACATGCTATTTTCTCTCCTCCGGGTGTGCTCTAGGGTGTTATCTAATTTCCCTTCTGTTCTAGTGTCACTTGGCATTATTATTGGGAAGATGAATGGGACAGGGGTCAGGGTTCAGCAGGAAGGCATCTGCGAGCCCAGCACTGCATAGTAGAAGTGCTCAGAGGTGCTCTTTAATGAAAGCTTGGAAAAGATTTGCACAGAGAAGGCAGTCTTCTATCCCTGCAGCACTGGAGTGACCAAAAGGTAGTCTTTTTCTGGAGGGACCAAAGCTGAACAAAAAGGAGGTCATAATATCTTTACAGGGAGTTCCCTGCTTGGGATGGCTTTTCTTCTCTTAGGAGAGAAAATGGGGGGAAAGACAAGGTGATCAAACACGGAGGAGGTTGAAAATGGAAGCTCTGGAAAGGGTCTCTGACCACTGTCCTGTTTTGCTCATAGAACTATCTCACCAGAAAGAGTTTCCACTCTATTCGCAAAGCCTCCCAGCCAGTATTTGCCCTGGCCTCAGGTTACTGCGCCGTCGCCTGCGGGCTCAGGTTCTCTCACTGGACTTCGTTCGCTGTGACAGTTCTTCCACTTTACCAAGCAGCCAGAATTCCCACTTGCGAAGCATTGCTTTGGCGCTTTGGCATTTGAGGCGAGGGGACAATGGCTCTATTGTTCTTTTGGCCTTCTTCAGTAGAGCAAATATCTCCTCCATCTAACCCTGTCACCACGGGAGGCTGAGCATGGAGCCCTCCAAGACTCACCTTCCTTCCACGTCCGCTTTGTTCTGGGAAGAGGGTTTCGTGTACCCCAACCCTCGCCCTCCCCTCCAGCGAACCAGTCCTGGGACCCGAGCGGACAGCTGCCTTTTTCCTGCCCTTCACAGGTTGAAAGTTGGGCGAGGGGGAGAAAAAGATGCATGGGTCAGGAATCCCGTTTTAGTTCGGGTTCGACCAGCTGCGCGTGGTTCCCCCGACTACACGCACCCGGAGCTCCGCCACGCAGAGGCTGCAGAGCGGTCCACGGGAACCCCGGGCAAGCTCTAAAAATACACGGAGAGGAGAGCCAGGCATCGCCAAGACTCGGAGCTGAAGCTGTCTCCTAGGGCGGGTCGGGATCCCGCCGCCGGCTTCCCGCACGGCGTGCTCCAGGGAGTCCCCACGCAGGGCGCATCTTTGCGGTTGGGTTTCCCAGTCGCCTTCTGGGAACCCCGCCGAGCCCCCGGCGGCTCCGGAGACGCAGGCGAGCTCGCCTCCGCCGGCCGCCAGCTCGCTCTTCGCGCTCTGGCTGCCCCGGGGAGTGAGTGCTCAGGGTCCCCCTCTGAGCATGCGCAGCCCGGCGCGCCCCCTCCCTGGCCAGCCTTTTGCTTCTGCCTTTCATTAAACAAACAGGAGATCCTGAAACCTGGACCCGGTGCAAGCCGCAGCTCAACGAGGAGGCGGAGGAGTAGGCAGAGCGTGGGATGGGCGCCGCCGAGGGGGATCGGTGATCCCGCGCTCCCCCACCAACCACCCCCCACCCCGCGCGCGCGCACACGCACTCTCGCTCACACACACACTCGCACAAACACACTCGTACACGCCCGCGCCGCGCGCTCGCTGGTTGGATCTCCCACGCAGGCGGAATGCAGCAGAGCCCGGGGAGCAGCGTGTCTCCAGCTGCCTGAATGTGCCTCGCTCGCGGGAGCCGGAGCCGGACGGCCCAGTAGGGCACAAGGGAGGAGACTCTGCCGGGAGAGGTGAGTGGGGCGCCCGCAGCCGCGGGGCCGCTTCTGGACGTCCATGGGGGCAGATCAGGTTCCTGCCGGACACAGCGGCGCAGGTGGCCCAAGCCCGGCTTGCGGGCATCAAGGTGCAGATGAAGGCAGCTCTGGGGCGGTGCAGGGGGAGAGGGCGATCCCAGAAAGGGTCGCCTCCTGCGAGGTGTCAGATTGACCCAGTGGAAAGCGACACCGTCGCTGCTCATAAACTTTCGTCCCCTGTCATTTGGGGAACGTGGAGACAAAGGGGGCGTGGAGGCTCCCTCCGTCCCGTTGCATCCTCCTGGCTGCATTCTGGGCTGCACGGGAGCCGGCATGCGGGCGGGGGCGCCCTGCAGGTAGCTGGTGCCAAGTCTTCCCGCCGGGCGGGGTTGGGATTTCTCACCCCTGCTGTAAGCGTTTGTCTTTGATTTTCCCTCAGGTGTGGGCACCTGTCATCCTTTCCTTCTCCCCCATCCCGCACCCTCGGCGCCTCGTATTTGGGCGCGGGGGGGGGGGGCGGGAGAGGGAGGCGGTGTCACCTGGAGAATTGGAGGGGCAGCGTTTGGCTTTCTCGTTCAGCACCAATGCCACCGGCGCCGGGGTGAGGCTCGGGTCAGCGCGGGGATGAATGATGAGTTACTAAAAGGCTTGCGGTAATCACCTCCTGGAAGCGCTGAGCGCGAGGATCTCTCCTCCCCGGGGAGAGTGTCTTCACGCACACCCAGGCGGCGGCGCTGGGAGCCGGGCTGGGCTGCTGTGGTGGGGGCTGCAGGCGGGGGAAGCTGGGGCTTTATTTTTGCCCGGGGGTTTTATGACCCACACATGTGGAGTATGTGGAGGATTCTGGGTTATTTTTCTTTGTGGGGATACCATATTCCCTTTTAACCTCTTTCGTGGGTGAGATTCTCTGCAACCCTTATATCGAACTGGTGGATAGGAGCCCTTCTAAATAATCCCTCCAGTCCCGGGGAACAGGTCCCAGCGAAGGGTTCCCTAAAATGCCATTTCCATTGGGGCGGGGTCTCGGAGGGCAGAGCGCCTGCTGGTACCAGGGAAGAGCCTCAAATCTAATGGTCCTTGGAAACAGGCGAGACTGGTCAGCGTACAGGGGGTCCAGGACTGGGACAAAGGGGTTTGCAAGAGGGACAGATGATGGCTATTTGGGAGAGGAGTGACTAGAGGCCAGTTGAGGCAGGAAGAGGTCTCGTGGGAAGCAAAGTACCCCTGCAGTCTTCACTGAATTCCTATATCCCTTCCCTTCTGTGGTTGATGGCTTTTATTCATTTGGTGGGACTCTGGAGATTTCCAGAATGTCACATCTGGAGCATAGAAAATTTGACTGTTCCTTAGCTAACCCTGAGCACAACCACAGATTAATTCTGTAAGTCTAGAAAATGCCATGTGCAGTTCTCTATTTTGACATTTTGTTCACACCTGGAAGATGGGATGGATAGACCGGTATATTGCAGTGGGGCGGAATCTCTCCTTAAGAGAGCTTGGATTTGTAGAAGAGTGTGTGTTGCGGGGGGAGCCTGGAAGCCAAGCTGATGCTGATAGAAGAAAACACCAGAAGCTCAGATCTAGTTCCTGTGACTGTGGGTTGCCAGAGAGTTCTCTTCACTTTAAGATGAGTTGTAGAGGCTGTCTCTCTGCTGCTTTGGGGACCTTTTAAAATTTTAAGCATTTTGTAACTTCTTTGAAGTGGGAGAAAGCCTGATATACATGAGGTTAATTAAGGAAGGTCACTTATGAGAGCACCTTGGCTCAAAAGTCAATATTGCCAAAGTTGAACTTTTTGAGAAAGGGGGGGAAAAGAGGAATTGGAAATGGATGTGTATTATTAAAACAGCTTCACTTTTATAATTTTTTAAAAAGCATTCAGTAAGATAGAATTCTGAAGTTTTTTTTCTTTTTTCAAACAACTAGTGAAGACCTTTCCAGAAATATTTTCAAGTTGAAATTGACATAGTAGGGGTTTAAATATAATTGTCAGCTTAAGTCCCTTTTTATTTTATGGTGAATATTCACATCATTTACATTGTAAATCTTGGCAAGAAAAGATTAAGATTATTATTTTTGTTTTTGCTTTATACTAGAGCTCTATTTTCTCCCTTTATGATATATTTCCTGTTTGTACATTTGCAAGTTGAACTCATTTTGATTATATTCAGATTCTATTTTCTAGTATTTACTGACCACCTATCCCTTATTTAGCATTGGAGGTTATATAAAAATGTATAACATTGTTCTGGCTCTTAAAGCATTTATAATCTAGTTGTCAATACAAGATTAACACACATGAAGTAATTGGAGAGTAAGGTCCTGTGAGCTCACTGTCCTGTGAGCTCTCAACATGCCTGCCATATACTCCATCCTTCCTCCTGGCTTTTCTCAACATTCAGAAAACACACATCAGCACTTATGTGCAGGAGCCTGCAGGAAGAGAAACACATGGAAGTAAAAAATAGTTCCAGATTTCAAGGATGGGGAAACAGGTATTTAGCTAACTATGATGCAATCTGATTGACTGTTATAGGGTAAATTAAGTAGTAATAGTATAGACATGCAAGTGACTTTTTTTCTTCCTCTATAGAATTAAACCAGATGGTTTTGGAGATATTTTTGAAAAATGGATAGTCTTTACAAGGTAGGGAAGGATGAAAAGGACATCCTGGCAGAGGAAATGTTTGAGTGTGCCTGATGAGTTAGTGAAACTCTGAGCCATCCTGTGTGGCTTGAGCACAGGGTGCTGGAGTGTGGATACAGAGATGAACAGCAGCTAAGTTACAGTAATTAGCAACTGATGCTGTGGAATAAAGGCTTCCCAGGTGGTGATGGTGGTAAAGAACCTGTCTGTCAAAGCAGGAGATGCAGGAAATATGGGTTCAATCCCCTGGGTCAGACAAACCTTGTTTATGTAGCAGTGGCTAAGAGCACAGACTCTGGAGCTAGACAGGTTCTATTTGAATTTTGGCTCTGTTGTTGTTCAGTCAATAAGTCGTGTCTGACTTTTTGTGACCCCGTGGGCTGTAAGTTCCCCTGTTCTTCACTATCTCCTGGAGTTTGCTCAAACTCATGTCCTTTGAGTCGGTGATGCTCTCCAACCATTTTGTTCTCTGTCATTCCCTTCTCCTGCCTTCAGTCTTTTCCAGCATCAGAGTCTTTTCCAATGAGTTGGCTCTGCATCAAGTAGCCAAATTACTGAAGCTTCAGCTTTAGCATCAGTCCTTCCAATGAATATTCAGGATTGATTTCCTTTTGGATTGACTGGTTGGATCTCCTTGCTGTCCAAGGGACTCTCAAGAGCTTTCTCCAGCAGCACAATTCAAAAGCATCAATGCTTCGGCGCTCAGCCTTCTTTATGGTCCAACTCTCACATCTGTCTGTGACTACTGGAAAAACCATAGCTTTGACTAGACAGACCTTTGTTGGTAAAGTGATGTCTCTGCTTTAGGCACACAGTTTACATCTATATGCCTCAAATTACTCTTGCACTTCAGGTGGAGATAACCATCTTAACCCATCACATAGAATTGTGGGGATTATATGAGTTAGTATTTGCAAGTGCTCAATAAATGGTAGGTTTTATGTGTGACAACAGTCAGGTTAAAAGCAAAGTTTTGACTTTATACTCAGGACTCCAGAGACTGAGTGCCACAGTGTTTCTTTAAAAAATTATTTTGGTTGGTTTATAACTAACTGGCTGTAATCCTATTTACCTCTCAGTGTAGGAATTAAATCAGCCAACATGAATGTGGCAGGAGCAGACTAGCTCCTAGGTAGAATAGGTGTCAGCATGTATGCCTGTAACATTTGCCTAGGTGCCTCCTCCTCATGCCTATCTGGGGAAGGTAGAAGTTTGCTTGCCTTTAGGCTGGTCCTCACATTCTTCAGGCTCATAGGCAGCACACAACAGATACTTAGCTGTTTAGGAAATTGTTTTCAGGGAAGTGACTACATGTATTAATTACAGCACTGCTTTGGTACTGGGGGATGTAAACTAAACATGTCAGATGTGAGGTTTTGCATCATTCTTTGGGAATTAAAAGCCTTTTTTCTTCACAGAAAAGTCTGTACTGTGTTCTAAAATAGAATCTCCAGTGGATGTGGAAGCCCTGTCTTCTAGCTAGTTGGCAACAGGGCGGTGACTAGAACTTAGGTCTGACCACTGCCTGGTGCTCTTTATGTTGTGGTTGTTGTGTTTATATTCTGTTTAGTTGTGTCAGGCTCTTTGCAACCCCATAGACTGTAGCCCGCCAGACTCCTCTGTCCTTGGAGTTTTCCAGGCAAGGATACTGGAGTGAGTTGCCATTTTCTATTTCAAGAGATCTTCCCAACTCAGGAATGGAACCTGCGCCTCTTGCCAAATATTGTTTTCACTCCATAATCAAAGACTGATTTTTGTTTTCCTGTTTCATTCATCCTATTTATGTTTCACTCAGATTAAACTTATAACAGTTACCCAACTGAGATTTTTCTTTTTCACCGTCAGGTCTTTTGCTGTGCTGCCCTCTCTTGCTGGAATTTTCTCCCTTACTTTCCCTGCCTAACTCCTTTGGAAGTTAGGGAAGGTTGTCTTGACCTTTTAGCACTAGAATCGGCTTCCCGTCCTACGTATTGCTCTGGTCCTTACCTTTGTATTTTCAGCACCTCACATAGGGCTTGTCACATAGCGGTTGATTGGATTGATTTTAATTCATTTTGGATTGAATGAGTGACAGTGAATGAATCTTCACTTCAGTCATTTCTGATGCCCCAGTAATGCAACTTCATGTTAGAGAAAATGATAGAATTTTCAAGTTCAGCAGTTCACTGGAAATCTTCTAATCAGACTCTTAAGTGAAACAAGATGACATTGAGAACCGGAGAGTTTCAGTGACTTGCCTGAGCTCAGTAGTGTGAGAACCAGGACTAGAACACCCAGCTCCTGATTTCAGATGCAGCGTCCGCCCAGGTCCTAGATCAGGGTGAGCTGCGGGAGGCAGTCATGTAATTTCAGGGTTTGTTCCTGTCTTTATTTCAAAATTTGCAGTCTTGTTCATTATATATTTTTTTGCATTAATTTTTAAAAATATTGCACTAAATATTGTTTGTTTTCATTACTGAGTTTTTGGACATCCCTTTAAAATTTGTGCCTCCTGTGAGGACTTTTCTGACCTCATCCTAGTTCCAATTCTGTTCTTTCCACTTCTGGGCCTTCATTATTGGTGTAAGAATGCAGTTTCACTGTGGAAAGCACAAAAATATCAAAGGAAACATCATTTAACATGGTGGAATGAGCTTTAACAAACATTTCATGACCTGGCTGATCTGCTTATTAGTAAATGTTACATTT